AGTATCTGTAATTACTTTGAAAAAAAAATTCTAAAAGATTAGATACTCAATTTATTTTGATGTCTTTAAAATCATTTTACAAGTAAATATCGAAGTTGGCATGAAGTCAAATGCTTATCTCTGAAACTGTGTTCTTCAGTAAAACATTACATACTTGGAACATATTGTGCATGACAACTTACCATGGACGTCCATTTCTGTAAAATGACTCCTAAACTGAATTTCACCAAAAGATATGTCAGTTATGTTTTCTTAGACGACAAAGGTATTGTTAACCGTGCTGCACAAGAGTATAATTCTACGACGATCACATAGATAGCCGGCAGATCGATAATTCGGTACAAAATCTGCAGTATGAAGTTTACACAGTTCCCAACCACATTTAATTGTAAATCACTACACTGCTGTGGTAGTGTATTAAGTAAACCAACGAAGACAGGTACACGACTCCAGTTGGCAGATATTCAACATGTAACACCACAGGTTATCTGTACACACAAGTCTTCATTAGATATTAGCAGGAAGATATTTGAATGTTTTCAGTATTTTCAAGCAATAACGGATCAATATACAACATCAATGACAGGTACACACATCTTGCAGTCTGTGATATTTCCCAACAGCAGTTTGACACAAAGTTTCCAATATTTTCCAGATGTAAAGTACAGTCACCAGTAATGTTCTCTATTTTCCTTGCTACAACAGCTTGATAAACATTTCTGGTATGTCTTCCCTCAACAGAAGTGGGTAAATCAGTGTCCCAAGTTCATCAAAGGTATAACCATTTGATAAATACTACTGCAACGATATTATCCTTAATTAGAATCTGGGTAAAAACCATCCAATCAACATTTTTGATAAATGTTCTCAGTACTTTCTTTGTATGTCATTGGTACAATATTTTCTCAAACAAGCGTCTGGGTAAATCCATCCATTCAACGTTTCTGATAAACATTCTTAGAACTTTCTACATATATGTCAATGGTATGATGTTTTCTCGAACTAAAGTTCAAGTAAATCAGTCTGATCAACGTTTCCTACAAATGTTCTCAGTACTTCCTACATATGTCACTGGTACTATAATTTCCTGAACAAAAGTCAACGTAAATAAGTCCAATTAACATTTCAGATAAATGCTTACGGTACTTCCTAGGAAATGAAAGTAGGTATAGCAATTTTATAACGTTTTTGGTTTTACCAAACTAAAATATGTAACTCTAACTCTTCCTTGTATCAAATTTCCCAAATCTTCATTGTCAGGCTGTTACAACAGGTAAGTTTTCCCTATTTTCAATGGTAAAATGTACACAAATGGTTATAACACTATCCTGCTGTAACAAGGATGAACCACTCCGCATGCATACTAAAATTTTCCTGGTTGGTTGTTGACAGGTAAGGAATGAGTACATGTATGTATCAACTGAGACACCACAAAGTTGCTGATACAACTTTTACAAGTAAACACATCATGTAAACATACCAAATACACCTTTTGTAAATATCCAAAACATGTCCTACAGTGTAAGTCACACCACGAACACCAATATTAAATAATCCCAACCAGCTTTAAGTGCTTGTGTGGGTACTTCTGAAGTCACATTCCATTCAAACAATACTGCACAGACAATAACAAAAGGTAGAAATATGATTTTCTATCAGAGTAGATATTGACAAAGGAACGTCTTCCTGGTCTGTGGGTTAAGCCTGACCTAAATACCTTGTATCTACAGACTATATAAACCGGTTATGAAATTAAAACAAATTATTGTAGCTAGTTGAATGTTCTGTCAGTAAAGTTAAACAGATCACTGATCGAATGAGGGTAACTTTGTTATATACATCAGCTGGCACACAGTCAAGAGTCATGTTATTCCTTAATACACTTTCGTTTTTACTATTTTACAGGCATATACATGTACAACATTTAAACTTGAATGATAATGATAAAGACCTTTAATCTGTCAATATCTGAGAGAAGGAGTATAACAGCTTGTGTTCAAAGGGCTGAGGGATATATGAGGGTAGTAGGGGCTCAGAACAGTCCAAGACATACTGTAGGACAATGTATTAATAAATAATCATATCCCTGAGTCTCCTCCCAGGAACCATATTCAGTACCTATATGGAATTTCAGTTTTCATAAAGTCTGAAGTGTGTGTGTTAGTAGCAAGGAGGGGATATATTTTGATAAGAATCATGGAAATCGTGCCTTGTTTTTACTTTATAAGTGTTAAGATAGACAATGGGCCAAGAGTCGCACAGGAATTTGACTAACAATGATGAGGTTAAGGCAGGCATGTCAAAGGTGTCAACAGGAGGAGTTAATGTCTCAACTGTGTCAGAGGAGAGGTCAGTGTCTAAACAGTGTCAGCAGAAGGATCGGTGTCTAAACAGTGTCAGGAGAGGGGTCAGTGTTTAAATAGTGTCAGAAGGGTCAGTGTCTAAACAGTGTCAGGAGAGGGATCAGTGTCTAAACAGTGTCAGGGGAAGGATCAGTGTCTAAACAGTGTCAGGAGAGGGGTCAGTGTCTAAACAGTGTCAGGAGAGAGGGGTCAGTGTCTAAACAGTGTCAGGAGAGCGGTCAGTGTCTAAACAGTGTCAGGAGAAGGATCAGTGTCTAAACAGTGTCAGGCGAAGGATCAGTGTCTAAACAGTGTCAGGAGAGGGGTCAGTGTCTAAACAGTGTCAGGAGAGAGGGGTCAGTGTCTAAACAGTGTCAGGAGAGGGATCAGTGTCTAAACAGTGTCAGGAGAGGGGTCAGTGTCTAAACAGTGTCAGGAGAGCGGTCAGTGTCTAAACAGTGTCAGGCGAAGGATCAGTGTCTAAACAGTGTCAGGAGAGGGGTCAGTGTCTAAACAGTGTCAGGCGAAGGATCAGTGTCTAAACAGTGTCAGGAGAGCGGTCAGTGTCTAAACAGTGTCAGGAGAAGGATCAGTGTCTAAACAGTGTCAGGAGAGGGGTCAGTGTCTAAACAGTGTCAGGAGAAGGATCAGTGTCTAAACAGTGTCAGGAGAGCAGTCAGTGTCTAAACAGTGTCAGGAGAGTGGTCAGTGTCTAAACAGTGTCAGGAGAGTGGTCAGTGTCTAAACAGTGTCAGGAGAGCGGTCAGTGTCTAAACAGTGTCAGGAGAGCGGTCAGTGTCTAAACAGTGTCAGGAGAAGGATCAGTGTCTAAACAGTGTCAGGAGAGGGGTCAGTGTCTAAACAGTGTCAGGCGAAGGATCAGTGTCTAAACAGTGTCAGGAAAAGGGTCAGTGTCTAAACAGTGTCAGGAGAGGGATCAGTGTCTAAACAGTGTCAGGAGAGGGGTTAGTGTCTAAATAGTGTCAGGAGAGGGATCAGTGTCTAAACAGTGTCAGGAGAAGGATCAGTGTCTAAACAGTGTCAGGCGAAGGATCGGTGTCTAAACAGTGTCAGGAGAGGGATCAGTGTCTAAACAGTGTCAGGAGAGGGATCAGTGTCTAAACAGTGTCAGGAGAGGGGTCAGTGTCTAAACAGTGTCAGGAGAGGGGTCAGTGTCTAAACAGTGTCAGGAGAGGGATCAGTGTCTAAACAGTGTCAGGAGAGGGGTCAGTGTCTAAACAGTGTCAGGCGAAGGATCAGTGTCTAAACAGTGTCAGGCGAAGGATCAGTGTCTAAACAGTGTCAGGAGAGGGGTCAGTGTCTAAACAGTGTCAGGAGAGGGGTGTCTAAACAGTGTCTAGGATCAGTGTCTAACAGTGTCAGGAGAGGGATCAGTGTCTAAACAGTGTCAGGAGAGAGGGGTCAGCGCTAAACAGTGTCAGGAGAGAGCGGTCAGTGTCTAAACAGTGTCAGGAGAGAGGGGTCAGAGTCTAAACAGTGTCAGGAGAGGGGTCAGTGTCTAAACAGTGTCAGGAGAGGGGTCAGTGTCTAAACAGTGTCAGGAGAGGGATCAGTGTCTAAACAGTGTCAGGAGAGAGGGGTCAGTGTCTAAACAGTGTCAGGAGAGCAGTCAGTGTCTAAACAGTGTCAGGAGAGGGATCAGTGTCTAAACAGTGTCAGGCGAAGGATCAGTGTCTAAACAGTGTCAGGAGAGGGGTCAGTGTCTAAGCAGTGTCAGGGGAAGGATCAGTGTCTAAACAGTGTCAGAAGAAGGATCAGTGTCTAAACAGTGTCAGGAGAGTGGTCAGTGTCTAAACAGTGTCAGGAGAGTGGTCAGTGTCTAAACAGTGTCAGGCGAAGGGTCAGTGTCTAAACAGTGTCGGGCGAAGGATCAGTGTCTAAACAGTGTCAGGCGAAGGGTCAGTGTCTAAACAGTGTCAGGAGAAGGGTCAGTGTCTAAACAGTGTCAGGAGAGGGGTCAGTGTCTAAACAGTGTCAGGAGAGGGGTCAGTGTCTAAACAGTGTCAGGAGAAGAGTCAGTGTCTAAACAGTGTCAGGCGAAGGATCAGTGTCTAAACAGTGTCAGGAGAGTGGTCAGTGTCTAAACAGTGTCAGGAGAGGGGTCAGTGTCTAAACAGTGTCAGTAGAGGGGTCAGTGTCTAAACAGTGTCAGGAGAGGGATCAGTATCTAAACAGTGTCAGGAGAGCGGTCAGTGTCTAAACAGTGTCAGGAGAAGGATCAGTGTCTAAACAGTGTCAGGAGAGGGGTCAGTGTCTAAATCTCAACAGTGACACATAAAGGTTTAAGTGTCACAACAGTTACAAAGGGAGGGTTCTGTGCTTATCTCAATATTGTCAAAGAAAGGGATCAGAATCTTAATCTGTAATTTTTGAATGATTTTTCTGGCAAGTCCTGATCAACAATTCAAATTTTTTTATGTGGGTGGGGACACTGTCTCAACACTCTGAGGGATGCATCAGTGTCATGACAGTTGCAAAGGGACAATTCAGTTTCTCATAGGGAGGGATCAGTGAATTAAATATGCAAATAAGATTAGGAGATTTTTTTATCCTCATCAGGGGAAATATCACGTCTACCAAAAACATAATCATCTTAATTACATGTATACATTATAATGACAATGCTAATGCACTTACACAGATAGTGATGGTCAGAGCCAGTGGTCGTACCAGTCAAGGACCGATGAATTGCTGCACCATGGCCATTCTGTGATAGTCAGCAGCCAATGTCAAGAAGAGGCTGGCTCAGTCATCCCATGTCTGAAACAATTTCAGAATGTATCAATCACATTATGTCAATTTACAGTGTTCCATAAATCCAAATATTCAAATTTTGTTTACTTCATCTTTACTGATCATAACACGTGGATAATATTGAAGCATCTATAGCAACCTGGTGCCTTTAAAACTGAAAATTATTCCTCAAACTTTCCATTTTCTTTTTTATCATATTAAAGTTTGCTAAAAATGGTTCGTAGCTATTAGCAATAGGATTATTCCTGAAGAATCATCTGTAAGTGAAAACAATGTTCATAGTCGGAATACTTGGTCTTCAAAAAAGTAGGTCTCATGTCTGGAGTCAGAACTAGTAAAATTCCATTTCATGTGAAAGTAATGGTCAAGTAAACAGAATGGTTTTAATGTCTTCCCATAAATACTAATAACTAGAGTGATGTACTCTTAATACATGAAATCGTACATCGTATGTGACCAACTTCATCTTGACTTATGTTCTAAAGCCATCCTTAAAATATTCTTGGTTTCGAGCACTTTTGTCAATAAGCAGGAATAATGTTTTATTTTCATTGGGTGGAAAAAAGACGACATTGTGAAATTTGCATTTTGTTTGGCACAATTCAAAGACATTCATATGTTTTGGCAGTGTGGAGAGTAAGTATTCAGCATTTATAGGACATCAGAATAAAAAACACTAAGTTGCTAGATTGCAGAGTAAAGACCTTAGATTCTGGAATTATCTTTCACAATATTACAAAATTGGAATCAATCATTCCTCAAAAATTATTAAGGTGGGGCGTAAATTTTGCTGTCAATTGTTGTTGCAAAAACAAACAATATTTCTTTATTTGAGCCGAATTTTTGTGAAAACAACCTCATCTTCAATTGGGAATACTTCCCAAAATTACTCCACAATTCTCAATCATCGCAATTCAAAATTGCAGATTCACGGAAAGAGTTTTAATTGATTTTATATTAAATACCATATTTTTCTTGATTGTTGGGGGACTTGAAGTCTTGCATTTCAAGCTGAAAATGTTCATATTTCTTGCACAAAAACCATATAAGAATAATACCATCAAAGTTTGACCATTACTCTAGCATGATGACAGAAACACCAAAAAATAAGAAAACAACTTGATTTAAGGTTTTGTCAGTTGTACATGTAAGCTTAACAAAGGATCTTAAATGTAAATTAAAAAAAAAATGTCCTCCAGTAAAAAATTCGAGATTCTTCCAATTTTCCCGAAAAGGAAAACCATCATTTACATTGAAAATAGCCTTATGTCAGATGTATTTATATATCAACTTGATAAACAAGTGGTATAAGTATGTGGTAGGGCCACTTATCAAATGGTATAATCTGCAATGGGAGCTAGTTCCTTTTCTAGTTATTTTCACTTCCCTTCACTATATCATATTTTCAGGAAAATATGTATTCCCAACAATAAAACATATAAATGAAAACAAACTTGACAAAGTAATTCAAATAAGAGGAAACAGTACTAATGTACTAAAACAATGTCTCCAGTTCTCTCCTTGTAAAGGTCATAAATATGTTATCTGGGGACATTTTGCGAGCTGGGAACAGGCAATAATTATAGGACTATTTTTTGTGAAATAACTTTGGATAATATAAGTGTCTTTTCTTAGAGTCAGAGTTTTCCATAATTTGGTTAATAGAAGGCTGTGTAGTGAAAGTAGGAGGCTGGCCTGCCGTGTATGTGTAGTCGTGTACGAAACATTATTACGGAACTGGATTGGTGTAGGCGGCCAAATGATCAAAGTAGCCGGTCAAATTGGCCGGCGACCGGCTCTTATGGAAAACCCTGTAGCGTTAACATTATAAACACTCTATCCTTCCATGTACAGATCTTTCCATAACACCTGGCCACAGTGACACTAATTTAGCCACTTAATTAGGTCAATTATCTTAAAAAAAGCACAGAACCTGAAATCCTGTGATACTTATTCTATACTACTAAGTAGTACAATGGAACTATTAACTTTTTAAAATTACCTTATACTGATGATTGATCATTAACCTTAAATGGAACTGAACCATGACTATGTAACAGAGTACAGGGACAGAGGATTTTTTTCTGCTGGTTTGGGATGTAGCATTTTTGCTAAATTTTGGAAAGAATATTGGTGATTTGCAAAGGAAATTCTATAGAGTATATTGCAAATTTGGCTCAAATATGAAATTATTCAAATTGAGAATGGAACCCATTATCAGCCTCAAAAAGCCCTCAAAACTGCTATGGTGTACCTAGTATACTATAGATCATCACTTTGTCTGAAAGTGGCAAGTTTTTCTCATGAGCAACAGTCAAATATTAAGAAGTTTGCATTTAGTGGAGGAAATGAAAAGAAGGTGTATTTGAGTAAATATAAACACTATACCCATGAGGTATATTTCATTGAAAGGCATTTTTGCATCAGATCAAAGTTGTTGGTAAACAAATATGGAATCCAGATAAAGGTCATTAGAAATACATGAGCAAAATAACAAAATATTTTCCAAAAGGGTATAAAATACTGATTGATATAGAGCGTATTCGACATATTGTACAAATCAAGGAAAAACAAAATGCAACTTAAGCATTTAATTTAGTCTGCCAAACAAAGTTGTTTGACAGAAAAGAAGAAATCATCCAATTTAAAGATTTTGAAGTCCTGTAACTATGGCAAATGTAGACAGATTTTGACAAATATTGGATTCCTTCAAGATATTGATATAAAGTGATAGACCAAATTTGGTTGAAATCTGATAGAAAAGGAAATCTCAACATATACGATGGAATATTTAATACAGACAGAAAACGGACAGACCCAAACCAGTATGCCCCCAAATCTGTTATATACTAAAAGGATAAAGAAACGTAGGGTGAACTTTAAACCAGAAATTAAGTATGATATCAGGCTTCATTTAAAACCAAATTTTGTATACTTACAGATAAATTAAAGCTTAACAATTTCCAAAGTCTGTATTTTGCATCTGACAATTGGTTTAGAGGTACTAACGATTACATTGAATGGACCCATAGGATTTTGAAATTGAAATTGAACTGAGTCATCAATATCTTGTGTGTCCACCGTTTGCTGTGGTCACGGTCCTTATTCTTCTGGTCATAGTGTTCATGAGAGCGTTAATCCGTTTTATGGGGATGTTGTCCCACTCTTCAATCAGAGCTCTGGTCAACTGCTCTCGAGTAGCAGGGGGTGGCTGGCGCTTTCGAACCTGTCTATCCAATTGGTCCAAAAGATGCTCGATCTGGGACAAATCAGGGCTATATGGTGGCCAATCTAGTGGTTGAATGTTGTTGTTGGCCAGAAAGACTTGGTAAATCCTTGCTATGTGGGGCCTAGCATCATCTTGCTGGAGGGTTAGATTATGCTGCTGTAAGAAAGGGATAACATGGGGTCGGAGGATTTCATCTCTATACTTCGCTGCTGTTAAATTGCCATCAATAACAACCAATTGTGATTTTAACCTGTGTGAGATTCCTCCCTACACCATTACTGAACCGCCCCCAAACCTATCCTTCTCTACAACGCAAGCGTCTGTAAAACATTCGCCACGACGTCGGTAGACACGTTGACGGCTGTCAGATCAATAAAGACAAAATCGAGACTAGTTTGTGAAGAAAACTTGTCTCCACTGCCTCAGTGGAAACCGTCGTGGAGCATGTGCAGTGACCGAGGCCATACGACGCTGATGTCGAGCAGGGGTAAGGTGTGGACCTACGTAGGGGCGACGTGCTCTTACACCAACTTCTCGTAATCGATTCCTTACAGTTTTTGAACTTATAGGACGCCCATTATTTCCACGAACATTAAGTGCACTCTCAACGGCAGTAAGGCGCCGATTACGCACATGAGAGACAACGATATAGCAATCCTGACGTTGTGACGTTACGTGCGGATGTCCTGACCTAGGTCAATCGGCCAATCGCCCAGTTTCCCGAAGACATCTTACAAGACATTCTATGGCGGAAACAAAAGTGCCTAGCAACCTGATTTTGCAGCTGTCCTTGCATCAGCATCTGAATGGCCTGACCGCTCTGAACTTCTGTAAGTCGTGCCATTCTTAAAACAAATCAAATTCTCAATTAATTTTAGGGAAGCAGTTGGTCTGTATAAAGACTAACGAAGAGTGACTTGACCAACGCTGCATGAGACCAGAACAACATGGTGCATGAGATTTTTGTTTTTTCCTTCCTCCATTTACCAGAGCTGTGCACTGTACCGTGACTACATTTTCGATACATGATAAGGTGTAATATGACCTAATTACTCAATCCAGAAAGTTTTCCTTTATTTGGAAAACGCGTTTTCAAATATCGGAATAAATATTACCCTACGTTTCTTTATCCTTTCGGTATACTATTAGAGGGCTAGTCTAAAGTAACCAGGTAATCAAGAAGACAATACAGACAAAACCAAATGTTTTAAATATTTCAATCCAATTGACATGTTTGTTTTACTTCAATTCCAACAGATTCTGATGAATAGGACTCTAGTAAACTAAGGAGGTGGTGGGGGGTGGTGGGGGGGGGGGGAGGGGAAGGGGGAGGGCTGGCGGGGTTGTCTTCTTCACTTGTAGTAGCTGGTTGTTACATCACTGAAAAAGACCCAAGTAGCCTGCTGCAAGCATATATGATATCCAAAGCAAGTATGGTAAATTGTCTGCTTCAATGACACAACCAAAACAGCACAGGTTAATGGTATCAACTGTCATTGGATGCATAAAATAATTGCCGATAGGGAAATAAATTTTATGAATGTATTCTTAAGTTTAAACTTAACACAACAAAAAAGATATAAAAAATAATATCAGCTGTGGACACAATTTTGAATAACACATTTTTTTTATGAAAAGTGGTCTGATTTGTGTCCTTCAACATATATGTGCATTTTAAGTAATCATAGTTTCATGTAACTACCCAAGTTTT